AATTTCTTTTGATAAGCAACTTTAAGGTACTCAAGAGACTTCAGCGGTAAAATGCGCCATAAGTGGATGAGATCAGCCATACTTGTTGAACCCCAAATGTAAGCTTTCATGAAGTGCATATTGATTTAATGCTTATAAACTGTATGAGTTTATCTATCTCTTCCATCTGTCATAGCAACTGTTTACAGAATTTTTTTAATTTGCTCTCCGTCCTAACCTTCTGCAACAACTAATTGCGAATTTGCTAGGTAGTGGTTTTTTTCCAATTTTTGTCGTATGCAATGTCTTGATAACAGGAGCTTTCATAAAACTTTTTCGTAAAGCTTTATTGGATTAAAAAAAGAATTGCATATAGTATAACAAGTGGAAATTTTTTCAAAAAAATTTTCGGGAGCACAAAATTGAAATCCGCAGTGAAGCTTCTTTCAGAATTGAAAAATAGGTACGCTATGTGCAAAAGAGGGTTACCGTGAGTGAAATAGTGTGTGAGTTATGTGAAGGGATGATTTATTGTCCCAATATTATTGTAAGATGAATTTAAGTTTGAAACCTCGTCTACCTCTAAGTCTGAGATTCATATTACGTAGTACTCTACACAAACAACAAATCTGTAATAATGGTTGTTGTAAATATGCTTGGGTTTGGTGCTTCCTTTAATTCTTTTGGGATTTCTCCGTATTCATGATGACTTTTATAGGATAAACAGCTGCATCCTGGTAAGCGAAATTTATATATGCCAGCCTAATAAAATTCCGCCGCTGTAAGACCAACTCAAACGGTCATCCTTTTCTGGTATTTGAAATACTTGATACAAAGGAAAAAAGGCTGTGTTGTGCAAATGTCAAATTACAAATCATTGCTTTTGTAAACATTATTCTCCTTTTTTGGGTCTGAATTTTTGTGCGACATGCAAGCGAAATAATTTGAACACAGCTGGTTTTTATAAAATCTGATCCAAATTAAGGGATCTGTGCAATGCAGTCTTCAAACTTTAGTTATCTGCCTAACCTCTAATCCTTTATTTGGACAAGTTGAATGACTTCCTTACGTATGGTTTTTGAAATAGATAGCTTTGCTATAATTACACTTCATTGCATGAAATGGCGGTGAAATCATAGTACTTGAATTACATTTTCATTTTCAGCTTTCTCACTCTTATTGAGGCCTATCCGAATATTTACCTCATTTCAGCATAACACGTAAAAAACTTCTATCAAAATTATTAAAA